TCAGGGGGACTCGAAGGGCTACGGTAGACCACACCGAGAAGGAGAGAATCGGACCCGCGCAGCGGGATTTGGACCCACAGTGCATCGCAGAAGTGTGCGCGGGTGGTGTCAGAAAGGACAATCGGGATTGGTAGGGCCGCATGTAAGTACAGAGCAACCCCACCTGCCCGCCCTCGTTTTGAGTCGGCTCGAAAAATAGAGTACCCGTCTATCGAGATCTCCGCGTCGGAGACATCTGGTGTGAACCAAGTCTTTGTGAGTGCGGTTATGGACGGTTTTTCAAGACAAGCTGACTGTTTAAAATCGCCGAGTTTGTTGAAAAGGCTGAGGCAGCTAGTGGACAAGCATTTCAACAACGTCTCCGCTGTATCCGAGGGTGAGGAGCCCAAAGTTGAGTGACCAGGGTGGTCAGCAGGTTTAATAGTTGTGCGCCGGGTTTGAATCCAAGGGTCCGAAGGGGCCTCTAGGGCGATGTCGTCTGCTTTCTGTCTTCGTGGTTTCTGAGGTGGCTTTTCGCCTGCAAAATTTTTTTCATTCCGTGAGAGCCCGATTTGCTCGGGCCTTTTGGCTTTGGGGGACGAAGTCTTTTTCCCCGTGGGCGAAATTTCGACCGTTGCTGTTTGTAGCTCTTTTAGCACCCCCATTTTGGTGACCAGATTTGCTGTTGATCCAAGATCGCCTTCCTGGATTCTTGGGTGTTTTGGCGCGGTTTGTCCTGGAAGGTGTCTCTGTGTGGCCCTGGGCGCTGGATGGCGGCACCAAGAAGTAATGATTTTGGTGGCGTTCCCAAGAGACTCGTTTTCGTGGAGGACTGCACCTTGAAGCCAGCTGGCAGTTTTCTAATCTGGCGATTTTAATGTGGCTTGTTTGGCTGCAGTCGCTCTTGTTTCGTGTTTGTGCAGACACCCGATCCGCCAGCGATCAGCGTAGCCAACTTGATGTACGAGGGATTCTCCGGATGGCTGTAGTTATGTTCATGGCTTAGGTTGTCGGGGTCCTGGGCGACGGTTGCGTCTACACATAGAGAGGCCGCTTTTGACGGAGTGGAGCTGAAGATTGGCTTCGCTGCTTGTCCCCGCACATCTGACTTAGTACAGTTTAGAGACTGTGGCTTTGCTGAGGAGTGCATGGCTGCAGCTGTTACGGAGATAAGCGTTGATAGCTCCACGTACTTTGGGCACTGCTTGCGTGTGAGGTTTGCCTCCTCCAGGACATCACTGCTTTTGGTGTGCGAGAGGCCTGTGGTGGTCGAATAAAAACTGTTGTCCGGAAACGCAACTGGTTTCGGGAGCACAACGGGATATGACCACAATCGGCTTGGTCATGAGTTTGGGGTCGGCTGAGTTTGTGCCCAGCGGAAGCCTGTTTCGTGCATCCACCCCTGACCTGTTGCGACCGAGCTTTCGCACGTCTAGAGGGCGATCATCAGATAGACGCCTGACCATTGGGTTGGCCTTCTGGATGCCTCCAGTCCGCTCCAAGAGCTTCTGTACGTCAGACGGGGGAGAAAGAGTGACGAGAAGTCCAAGCGTTCGCTTGCTTCCCATCTGGCGTAACCATTCTGCATGGAGCGATTGGTCGGGCTTGATAAGGACATTCCCGTGGATTGATTGTGCCAGCTTCACCAGCGTGGGTTTTCCGGAGAATGACCCCCAGATTATCAGCCTTCTTTTCCTTAGGCGCCTGTCCACTAGAGACGCTGTCGCAGTCTTTTTTAGCCGCGTCAGAGTGTTGTATTACTTTCTTCGCAGCCATAGTGCCCGGTATGGATATCGCGAGGAATTGGTTCAGCGAAGAAAGTTGCTTGTCAACTTTTGTCCAGGACGCTTCATTCTTAGCGCATGAGTCCTCCAGTGCCTTTTAAAGACGCTCTATTTTCGCGTCGAGTATCCCGATTAAAACGGAACACTGACAGTGGTCTGGGGATTGGGTACCGTTTCGGGGGCTCCCCTCTTCGCTGCGGTATACATTGCACCCTTAACGTAGAGGCAGCTGGCGCAGACAAACGGGTCAGGAGAGTTAGCTGGTCGGCTTATCTGGTCGTCCTGTAAACCCGTGCATTTGAAATGCCACCAGGCATTGCAGGTGTGGCATTGCATCCCGCGTTTGACGTTCTACATGCAGCCATTTCGCCCACATCTGTTGTGGTCTATCAATGGCTGCAGAGGGCAATCGGTATAAATCGATATCATGTTTCGGACTAGATGTAAAATAGGAAGCGTGCGCAAAATATCAAGGGATATCTCTCAAATGTTTTGTTAGAGTAATAAAATCCAACGATTACTCGCTTGTACTCCGTGAATAGGTTGAAAAACGAAAAAATTCTTTCGCATATTTGCACGAGTGAAATCGAAACCGATCTAGAACCTACCGCGCGTGTTTTTTCAATTGCGTAACCGTTTTTTTAATAAGAAAAACTACGGAAACACGCGCTTGTACAATTTCACGAAATACAATCGTGGCCACATGCTCCGACTCTCTCTCTCTTCTCATTTCGCTCGCGCTTACAGCGGTCATTCGAGAATCTCATCCGCTAAATCTGACACCAAAACATTTCAGACTATCTTCGGAATCTATTATATGTGGGAACTGTTCAGAAGACCCCTGGACAATCCTGATGGGACTATAGTTTATTCGTTCACCTGGGCCAACGACGAACTATCTTAAAGAGAACAATTGTTAAGGAGTGTGTTTCATCTGAACTTTTATTATTGTATACTCAATTTAGCGTTATTTTTATTTCTTTGCCACACACTCCAGGTAAAGTACCTTATTGGGTATCCAGACCACTACAGGTGACATTGGTCCCCCGCATCAATTCGTTCTCCGTACTAAGATATTAGTCAGTTCCATGCAGTAGGAAGCGTTCTTCGTAGATATGCTCTTCCATACCCACCAACTCTGTCAGATTACAACCTATCGAAAAAGTGTGTCACTTAAACATTTTTCTTACGCTACTGCCGACAGCCTTTGATGGCCTGCGTAAACAACTAAACCAACTGATGGACAATCTTTAGGAGGTAGAACCCGATGATGTCAAATCCGTTATTAAGCAGGTGATTAGTCAGAGGCGAATCCTGCTCTACCAAGCCTCGACATCTGCACCTGACAGCCTGCCGTCGCTAATTGGCGATGCTGTTATTCAACCAATATGCTTGTCTAGGGATAGAGATTAGGGTTTTTGTGTTCTCTGTACCCGGCCGAGTAGTACCATTGAACCCAGGAATGCGACGGATTGCGCATCACACGCTGACTCTTGTGGTGATGAACCTTGTTCGGTATGCGATGGTGAGCTTCAGGCTTATCCCAAAAGTGAGTCAGCAGCTGAATAATTTATTTTTGGTTCTTAGCCCCTAGCCTGCCTCGAAAACGAAAATGTGTGCTTGCTAACCGGTCTATAAAGAAAGCGTATTTTGAAGTCAATCTCAATCGAATATAAGTTTCCTGCCTAATGTTTCCCAGAAGGCTTCATGCGTCCTATTTCCGTCACCGAGGAGCTAATCGACAGCCGTGAGTTGATTTCTTATTACTAGTTAAAAGGCGGATAATACTGATGAGGCATGCGGGTAGTAACTGGTTTTCTCGTGGCTGCACCTCACGTCTAATGGAAGGTGTGGGTTATCACGAAACTTGTGCAAATTTTTTGAAGCGTCCGTTTACAAATACTTGATGGGAGACGCGTGAATATGTTCAGTTCTTAAAAGCAAGATGTATGTGAGACATTCACTTTTCCGTCCAATAGTTTGCGACTGTTTAGCTCTTGTTTGCTAATAAACGGCTTCAAGGCGAAGAGCTTTTTTCTTTGCACAAGGACGAGCGTAGAAGGGGGGCCGACCAGATGAAACAGACGTCGATGATTTCAGGTGACCCACAGAAGGCCCATCAAATTCAGAATATTCGTCTGCTAATCAGACCTCATTAATATCGTGTGGGTTTCGTATTTTTCAGACCTTACTGTCAGTAATCGATGAGCTGCAAGAAATCACGCGATGCAAATCGGCCGTTGAAGATGGCGTTGTGCGAACAAGACACTATGGCATTGCTGTCGCCAAAGGGCTTTCGTTATAGGGTATGTTTTGCTTCCATTTTGACAATCGCCTGCCTCATAGTGCTAATTCGATAAGCTATCTAATATCTTCCCCTCATTTCAGGACGCCAGTATCCCAATATTCATCGCGCAACGTAAAGTGCGTGCGCTTTCCTGCATGGCAATATACCAATCAAAACGACGGAAAATTTTCAACTTTCCACGTCGCACACGTTGAACCTTTGCGGTTCCCCCGTTAGAGATGGATGGTCGTGTGTCCCCTAGCTAGCTACTCATTGTGGAGCCCTAGTCCCATGTCAGTCGTGAAGGTATGTTCGGATCTGCTACGATGGACGTAGTTTCCACGTTGCCATTTGCTTAGTCACGATGAACTCCTATTCACATGTTATTCGTGCGTGTCAGCTAAGTTCGTCTCTCTGTTCGCTATTACCGAAGACACGGGCGTCTTGCTATGTATTTTCAGTTACACAAAAGGACCCTTCTGTTTAACAACAAGCCTAAATTGATCAACATTTGCAAGCCCTACGTTCATCCAAACTCTCACGGTATATTCAGCTTAAAAATGCGTCCTTTGCGACGACAAATCGAGTTAGCAATTTTTTAGGTCCATGAGCACATAAATCGGTATTTGAACAGTCAAGCAGATAAAGATAGTTTAAAGTATCTACAAGAGTGGCAGCTCCGCATATTTTGCGTCCAAGAGGACAACAATGTTTTTAGAAAAAACCTCAGTGAATTATTTCATCTGCAGAACGACCTGCAAGATTTGTCTGCCGCCAGCGATTCGCCATATCTCATTACACTAGGCACCATCTTCACAGTCGGTGATGATTGAGGACCCTGTAGATTCTCTCATTTAATCAAGATTGCTGTGAAGATGATGTGCAGAACAATTCATTAGAAAAGGACATTCTTCACTATTAGGTGGTAACCTTGTAAACACCGTAGCTTTCCAGCATCCAATTTTATGGGGCGGATACTCTGCGCCTTCATTTGTAGGCTGGTAACCACATGGGAAGTGGCAATTGAAAGTAACTTCAAAAGTTTACCCACCCAAAAGCGCTATGAGCGACACACCACAAAAACCTGCAGCCAATAAATCCCTGTAAAATTTTAAACCTCGAATACATCGCAGTTTTGATGAAGTTAATTTCGGTTTACTTCTAGTGAGCAGTGACCCAGTGTGACTGGTCGAATGAGCAAGTGAAAAGGTCAATATTTTTTCAATTTACTGCGTTTAAAAGTGAATAACGACTTCATCATTTCACCCACACATGCAAAAAACAGCAGAAATTTCTGAAATTTATAGTGAAAAGCAGTCTATCGTTGCAGCACGGTGTCCGGCAAAGAAAGCCGTTCGAAGGATTCCTCGCCGGAGGTAATATGGAATATCTTACAGACGACACACGCTGCTCCATGTGTCTTGAAAGGTTTCATTGTCGCCGGTAAAAGTAATGATTGGAAGTGATTTCCTGAAGCCTGGAGGATGACCAGGCAATCATCCGTTTTCCTTTCGACGTACCCAACCACCCGACATCTGGCATGCAGCGCATTTTTGAAGTGCGGTGCTATACTTGCTGGCTTCTGCCATCGGCTGCAGACATGTGTGGGAAGTGGAGTTGGGGCAAGGGACTCACCTCTCCCGTCGGAAGTATAATGTCAGGTTGACCAGAATAACGACAACGATAGAGGGGAAACAGTTCCAATTAGAGTGATGTTTATGGACAACAGAGATCTCGCAAGAATCAGATAAATAATAAAGCTGTAAAACGTTTCCGGTGCATAACTACCATGCCACCAGAAGGTTGCACGGGGGCTGAGAGGCTACAGGCTGTCTAAGTCTAGACGGGGGAAGTTGAGGGGCAGAGATCGGGTTTGAAACATGGACCATTTGATGAATAATTTCGCACTCCAACAACTTGGGCAATCCTACGCCCTCAAGCCTCACAAAGCAAATAAAAAATTTGAGAAAGCCCTGAATACCCAAGTTGTCTAGCTTTGCGGTACCAAATACTGATCTCCGTTAGTTTGATGTAATCGTTTTCCTCACCCAAGTGAATGAAACCCTCGGTTCATGCAAACATCCGTGAATGTAACAGAATATGGGTGGTAGACTACGACGGTGGTGTTCGAAGCCACTTTTGTGTTGACAACACGCAATAACTAGCTGGGTTTCAGCGTTTTTTTAGAATTCAAAAATGTGGGTGCTCCGCACGACTCAAATAGTCCGTCAGTGTACAGGCTGATGCTTTACTGTGGACGATTGGCCTAAATGGACACTTGATAATTTAGGAATTGTAACAATAAGATGTTTCAAAGCTTCTTCAGAGCGCACACGATTCAGATTCAGCGGATTAAACGCTTTTTACTTCAGAACCATCATCGAGTGAGTGATTCACAGAAATCTAGGAACCAACTCGCTACCGATCACGCTTTCTCCTGTGCTTCTAATAAATAAAAGCATGATTAGCAAAGAGTAGACTTGGATTCTTTATGCACGGGCGTGGTAGATAAACAAACAGCGCACTTATGATGATGATGGACGATCGTTGGCTATTTTCATAAGGGAAACTACTCACAAGGTTGCTGAAATCTCTTTGATAGTCCACGGCCTGTGACGACCTTCTTGGGGTACAGGTAGGCGCACTCTCCGAGTTTTCGTCAACCTCATGTTCTACTTGAGCGCGAATGGGACTGCTTTTGAGAAATACACTCATTTGCGAATCAATTTGGTCTTCACGAGAGACCCAACCGAATTTCTAGTTTACGAAATTCGACGACTGAATGTGCTGCACACAGGCCACCTCATGGTTTGCTAATGAATGTATTTCTCACAAACTGGCCAATTTGGGCTCATGTAGAACATAAGGTTGACGGAAACTCGGGGAATGCGACTACCTGATGAGCCTTAAGAAGGGCGAAACCGGTCGTGGGTTGTCAAAGAGTTTTCAGAAAACTTGTGAGTAGCTTCGTTTATGAAAATATACTGCGACATCTCGAATAGCGTGCCAATTAAAACAGCAGGCGGCCTGTATGCAGCACATTCAGTTGTAATTATCATAAAGGAGTCTCTTGTGAAAACCAAAATCATTTGCAAACGAGTGCATTACTTAAATTTTTGGCTATATTTATCGGACGGTTTGCCTTCTCCCGGGAAGGATCTATTGCTAGAGTGACCGCAATTAACATGCACAATTTGTTCTCAGTGGAGACTGAGATTACTCATATAAATGCATAGTAATATCCCTGTTCTAAATGCGTCAAGTTACTTTTGATTATCATACCCAGCGCACTGTGGCCTAACAATCAACAGTGTCGAGTCGAACGTCTTCTACTTCATCCAATCTGCTACGAGTGGACCAGTTCCAAAAATTATTCAGGCAAGCACCTAGATGAAGTTCACGTTAAAAAGTGTGTTTTATGATTGTCGAGCTAGCACATTTTTCGTATTGACTAGTTGAATGCTTACCCATTCAAACAAGTGTCTTTGAGCAACACACCACGCGAATGTGTTTTTGGGATTAGACGACCGTAAAGCCTTGATACGGGAACCAACTTGATACGGGTCCAACTTCTCGAATTTTCGTTGCGTAAAGGTGGTTTGAGGGAAACAGCAAACTCGTCTATCAGGAAATCACATTTGTTTCGTCAGTTAAACAAAATAGAACATGTTGTTAACTAAAAATTCTTAAATTTGGGCTCAAATTATTGTGGGGTGGCGCGTGCGCACGTGAAAATTAGAGGAATCTTCAGCCATGGGGTTGGGCCAGCAAGGCTCCATAAACAGCGTCACTGATTCCCTTGGTGTTGAACCCGACTTTATAGATTCATGTATTTAGTGAATGAATTTGCCGCTGATGCGTACTGTAAAAGTTGTGATTTCTACCTTCTCTTTTTGTAGAACCAGGGGATTCGTGACAGCGTATATTTTGGGAGAGGTGTCCAATCAGAGGGCATGCACAGCTCGCACGGTAGGTTTGAGGAGACTTGCCTGGGTTCAGAGCACTCGACCAAGTAGGTTTAAGTGTCAGCATAGGACAATTATGCTCTACTAGCTAAGCAAATCCCTTGCTAAGTGTGGAACCACTGCAAATAAGAAACCCGCTAATGGAACATACGAAAACAAACCACGATATAACACCTTGCCAGGATAAACAAAAATGTGTTGTATAAGCATATAAGCACCGTCGATGGAATAAGCCAACCAACTTCTCTTTGAGAGACTGGAACAATGAACCCACGTGTCACTCATTTTTAGTATCTGAGGTCTGCGGAGATCACCACGCAGACAACGACGGCGGCCCTGTTACACACACCACCATGTCAAGATGTAACCGATCGCGGCCTTTAGCCAATTCGGTCTTCCTGTAGGGGGGCTTTCACCAACACTTGCGCAAGACCGCTTAAGAACTTTCAGGCGAGTCGAAAGCTACACTGAGATCCCTAAAGAAACGTCGCTCATACTAGTAAAGTGCTTTTGAAGGTGTTCCATTAGTCGCCCAGCGAGGACTTTCCCCGTATGCTTAGAATGAAGCCGGCGACCGAATATCGTTCGGCAGCTAAGGGCTTATGAGCCTCACGAGCGTATGATGTTTAGTGACGAAAGCATTTTGAAGCGGACGACTTTAAATCAACTTGCCACCACCAACTTGGTACCCACAGTACAACATGAATTCCTCCAGAAACATTCTTGCCTGGTGAATGTGCTCGTATTTATTGACAGCTTAACCCAAGCTAAGGAAAAAAGGTCACACTGAATGCCATATTTCCCAGATTCTAAAAAGCATTCAATTGGATTTAACATGTCTCGCTGCCCCATAATCTCTAGTCTTACGAAATCCATAGGGACATTCTACTTTGGATTAGGGAGTTTCTACCGGACAAAACATTTCGAGCTGAAGCTAGGCTCTCCATTCGAGTTCCTGAAGGCATCACTTTTGGACCGCTTTAAGTTCTGATCTTTGGTAAAGTCCTTTCAGTTGTTTTTTTTCAAGTCCATGCCCACTTTCCGCGGACAACTTGAAATTCCGGAGTTCCTAAGCCAGCGCCTGCCAAATGGATGTAGACGCTGCAATGCAGTGGACACTGGTTTGGTACCTTCCCTGAATGATGAAAAGTTCGTCCGTAGGCCTTTCGGAGGAGGCTCAGCGGACGCCTTTGCCATGCATGGTAAGAATGGACCACGGGGGTACCATGAGGATGGATACCAAAATGCATATGAGTACATCGCTTTTTCCAAACATGTCCCCAATTCACGATGGAAAACCGGCTCAAAAGAGGTTCGATGTTTTACGGTACGCTTTCCCTTTTATTACTCGCACGGACTCACAGATCCTCCAGGAAGCCCGCATCAGTCCGTTTATTAAATATGTCAACCAGTCATCCTTCTTACGACCCCAGAAAGACGTAATCCTCATTGGGCGTGCCCAAAGAGCTGCTTCGGAAATGGTTGCCAGCCGTACTGCCGTTCATTATGAAACGCGTCTGGCGGGGCTCTATCTATTTCCTTGTGGACTATTGTCGCCTCCAGGATGACCTGATAATTACTCACAACCTGTCTGAATAAAGTTTAGCCAACCGATTTTTCACTTTTGGCCCAACTGACACGGCAGGGACATGTTAGGAATATATTCAAGCTCACAGCGCACAACTTTTTGAGCGACAGTTTTCCTCGTATCGGGTAGTTGGTTAGAAGAATAAGCTTCCTCCGACGGTCCTTCACCTTCCATCTAGTACCTAGTTCAAAGTGCTTTTGGACACCTAGTTGTCCTCGTGCTGGTGAGATTAGTGCCCCGCACTGAGATCTTGAAGGGCAGTGTTATACCATTTTTTCGCTCGTGTCTTTCAGGTGAATGGAAGCCATTGGAAGCCAAGAATAAACCAGATCTGGTAAGCTTGGGCGAAAGCCTCGATCCTGCCTACCAATTAGCTAATCCATGAAAATCCGACTGTGATAGGCTGGAATATGGACCAATCAGAATTGGGATCCCTACAAGCTCGTGGCGTCTTGCCCGACCATGAGGTTTATGGTGTGAAGGGGTCTTCCCTAACCTGAAGTGTGTCGGGCAGCGGGGAGGCTGTGCAAGCTGATTTCGACGATGTTCCGGAGGGTCTGATCGTGTAGAGGTGAAGGAATTTATACTGTGCGTACAGTAGGATAGAAGCCGCCTCCAACTTCCAATAAAAAGGCACAATTCACGATAACCGTTCATTAGCCGAGAACGGGAAACGGTAGCTGTTAAAAGAAGCCTACATGGGGGGACAAGGTGCGAAACATAGAGGTATTCAAAGGTGTCGTCGTGTGCTGACATCAAAACTGCCGCTACGTCTGGAAGTAGACAAAAGGGAGTGTCTGGTTCACATTTCGACTTCTGCCTCCCTATCAGCAAACACTATCTGCGGTGCTTTTGGGTGTCATGTTCGCAGACAAAAGACGGTTGGTATACAATGTTGACTTGTTAGACTTCTGGGTGAAAAAGGCAGTAGGTTACAATGGTAAGAGCTTTGCTCTGTACCGTTCCTTCCACACCTTTTGAAACAGCCGTTAATCCTGAGAAAAGTGGTTTCCCATAACCACACTCTGTCATTAGTGTGGAGAAAAATATCTTTTATTGCCCGATTTGAGACTGGAGGCGTGCAACTACACGTTAATCATGCAGAGTATGGCGTTCTTTTTTGTAAGTTTCCAGTGTAAATGAGTTTGCTAGGGGATGAAACGGCTAGTTCCCCCTTACCCGCCTAGTTGCGCGCAGCACGTAGAGCGACCCGGTTGATTGCTCCTCAGAACACTGACGTGCAATTACTTCTAAATATTAAGTTCATGGTTGGAAGTGGCGATCGTCTGTACCTTGACTTATGTGGCGTTGAAAGCTGTTTTTGAGGTTATTTTGATGATCCTTGTACCGTTAGTGGGCTAATGTGAGATTGACGTATGGAATGGTATTCTCAAATACGTTTTTATAACTGACCTCTAATTCGACCCCGGTGCTGGAGTCAATGGAAGCAGAAGAAAGCGCACATGCTGATTGTATCGAGTACAAATGAGACGTCTATGGGCTAATAATCTGGGTCGCGTTGCATTATGTGTTTTCTTGACCATCTTTAGTTTAGAATTTCTTTCGGTTGATGGTCAGCAAGCTGCAGCTTTAGCGACAATGACCTGCCGCAGACAGTCAAATGGTGAAATACACTTCATCTATCCATCGCGATCGATTCCGTTACCTGTGCTCCCGCGTATTACGGATGGATTTTGAATCCTGGAAATCGACAGATACAGATGAATGATTGGCCACATATTTACTGTTAGCCTACCATATACATTGGCGTTCACACTCTTATGCACAGATTATGATAGTTCGACTGGTAAAAATTTACAATGTGAGCCTTTTGGATATATTTCTTGTAATGTCTCGAGCTAAATAGAGGCCCGAAACCCAGACTGCGGATTGCACATGCACTATTGTGACATATTTTTGGCCGCGCAAATAGCAAAACGTTGAACATCTTCAATGGAATTTTGTGGACGAAACCAACTTTGGTTACTTCGATGCAGCCCTTTCTGATGAAATTTGTCCCATTCCAAGTTCTTATGATGGACGAAAATTTATTCTAGGTTGTTCCCTGTCCAGCTCGATAGCTGGATAATTATACGAGCATTCGCTTCGAGGCTTACTTTGAACTGTGGATTCACGCGACGGGTAGCTACAGGCGGTCGACTTGAGGGGTCTGTCGGTCTAGCTTATTCTTAAACACCGTCCTGTGTGAGACAGGTTGACGAATATCCATGTAGCACTGTCTATATGGGAAGGAGAGAAGCAGCTTAGTAGATTTACTGCAAGAACAATTATTTTCTTAGCTAGGTACGTACGCTTTGATAATCGCGGTTTTCTCCCTTATCCTCCTTTTAGAAACCTCATCGATGTCTGTTCTGATAGAGACTTCACTGGGTACTATTGTGGTCGACCTATTCCTCACTGAACGTCCAAAATGCTCGTTGAACTTCATCAAACTCTGTCAAATGAAACACTACAACTTTTGCACCTTTCACTCAGTCCAGAAAAATCTAGTGGCTCAGACGGGGGACCCTACTGGAACTGGGAGGGGTGGTTTCTCTGTGTTTACACACCTATATGGTGAACAAGCCAGATACTTTGACGCCGAAAAGAAACCCAAGATATCTCACGCAACACGCGGTCTCGTTTCGATGGTTGAGAATGGTCACGGGCAACATGGATCACAGTTCTTCATCACGTTGGCGGATGATTTGCCTTATTTGGATAATAAACACACTGTATTCGGTCGAGTGAGTTTTCGGAATAACCGTTATACTGTATTTCCTAGCTCGCAGAAGGGTTGGAATTTATTGACAAGATTAATGAAGTTTTTTGTGATAAAGAGAACAGACCCTTTAGAAACATCCGAATCCATCATACGATCGTGCTGGACGATCCGTTTGATACCCCGAGGACTCTTGTTTACCCAAAATCCCCTGAACGTTTTCCCAAAGCGGTGAGTCCTTTTTGTCACAAACTTTTGGGACTTATGTGAATCACTATGAGCATATTTTCGTTACTTTTATGCCTAATGAGAATACACGTGCGTTTGAGGGATTTATCCATCTATAGCTTGAGATAGTTCAGTGGTTAAAGCGCGAGCTTAGTTATAGGAATATCTGTGGTTCGAATCCAACCTCTGAATCTGGAGCCTGGCGGTGTTTCAGCCCCTGTTCTTATATTTATCCATCTTAGCTTGAGATAGTTCAGTGGTTAAAGCGCGAGCTTAGTTATAGGAATATCTGTGGTTCGAATCCAACCTCTGAATCTGGAGCCTGGCGGTGTTTCAGCCCCTGTTCTTATATCGGATGGCATAAAAACTGTGCACCGAAAGTGTTGTAGCTGAACGACTATTATTTGATTACTATGCGCCTGTCATTATTTTGTTCTTCACGGTTCATCCTCTAATTGGTGCTAACTACCCCACTTTCTCCTAAAATTGGTCGTCACTCGCCTATTGGCAATGTGCTCGCATGTAATCCCTCGGAGCATCTAGAAACCACTTTTCGGTAACCTTCGGGAAGACTATCGACGTCAACGAATATTCCGGCAGGTGGTTGAGTTCACTAGTTGTCGAAGAAAGCTGCAGCTGCATCGCATGTTTTTTTTCAGGATTACTAGTTAAACGTGTCGACCATGCCGGGCAGCAGCTCTCAATATCTTGTTCCTCCGTAATAATCGGTTTTTCAGGTCCCTAAGATAGTCCCTTGGCGTTATTGCTTGTTTCAGTGCGCGCTGACAATTGAATGTCATCCCGAAGCGTGGATTTTTTGAAGAGATTACTAGTTCAGAAGCCCACAGCAACGCTCTACTTCATTCATAAAGAGAGTTCGTTCCCAAATAGGGAGGCAAAAACGTTTTTACCTGTTTTTTCTAAGGATTAGCCAGCTTTTTGTATGATGGCTACAAACACATACTTGAGTAATAGTTGCATTCATCGAGTCAACCAGACCCATTGGAAATGAAAACATGCTTGGCCAATCCGTCCAGCTGCCCTTCTGAACTGTTTTTAGTTATAAAGCACAACGTGGTCCACGTATGAAATTGGTTGAATTTTCGTCGACCACCCGAAGGTATAGCAACTGCAGTGGGTTTCAACGTTACTGACTATCTTTTGCTATGCGTAACTATATGAGTGGAAAGTTATTTGTCACTGCGCGGCGTCCATCAATATTATTTGTCAAATGATACTTCGGCTTTGTTTGCACCAGATGTTTGGGGATGGCGGTATTCCTCGAATAGAAGAAGATGAAGAACTAGACGAGGAAGTGGGCCTATCACCTACTCGTTTGAAGGAAGTACAGGCAGAACAGGAGGCGAAAACACATGCGCAACTCCTCACGTTGATCGGTGACCTCCCGGATGCGGATGTGAAGCCACCAGACAACGTACTGTTTGTGTGTCGCTTGAACCCAGTGACGACCTCTGAGGATTTAGAGATAATTTTCAGTCGGTTTGGTGAGATTAAGTCTTGTGAGGTGATTCGGGATCGCCGTACAGGCGCCTCTCTCCAGTATGCATTTGTTGAATTTGAAAACGAATCTGACTGTGAAAATGCCTATTTCAAGATGGACAAGGTGATCATCGATGATAGACGCATTCATGTTGACTTCAGTCAGTCCGTCGCTAAAGAATGGCAGAAATACCGCCGAGAGCAGAAGGCTGTCGTAATTCGCGATCCGAAACCACCGAGACCAGCCCGAGGTCAATCTCGGCATGAACCGTCTCACAGGCACGAAAGGCGTGAGCGTAGCCGGTCACCGCGAGCTTCAAGGAGATTTGAGAAACGACCTTCTCAAGATTCCAAACGCACTCGGTCACCAGTTTCATCGCATCCCAAGGAAAATGTGGGAAGCCCGAAACACAAGCCATTGCCAGGTGCCGACTTGGATTTGGTGGTTTCTGGAAGCGATGAACTCTCCTCTAGTTCCTCTTCTCTGTCCAGTTCGCATGCCAGGAAGAAGAAGAAACACAGGAAACATTCAAGGTCAGACGGTGAGTCAGCATATCTTTGTTTCAGCTCATAATAATGCTTGAGTGTCCAGATTGTTGCTTTCAGTTAGCTCATACAGTGAAACCGGGAAAAGTCCACTCTTGTTTTTTTCAGAGTATATCGGTTGGACTATCCATCATTCGAAATAGTAATACAGCAGAATACTGGGTATGCAGTCTTCGAATCTGGTGGACTAGAGCGGGACTACTTAATTGATTCCCATATTTTCATTCCCCTTATCTAGTGATGATTTGTAGGTAATTTGACTTTTCATATGATAATGGGATTACCCGTCTTCCATTGATAGTTGGTATTTTTACTATAAATCAAAGTAAAGAATTAAAGTCACGTTTTTGATACACGGATGCCATTCATTTCATTCGTAACCATATTGCAGTTGCTTGGGCCATTGAACAATAGTTTGTCCCATTGTCGCGGTTGCTGGGACATCGGTAACAAGTAGAACACCCGCTTACAAGCCACGATGACAAACCAAATTTATTAGTAGCGCATCAGCGTGGGACGTAGATTCCTTGAGACCCCTTAATCACCTATGTTTACTGTGAGTAAACTGTATCTGATAATTCTAGTGTAAAGAAGCTCATGTTCAGACCACCAGTTTTTCCATCAAGTTTCGCGTTTTGCAGCTTGAGAACCCGAGCACCCCTCATACGGTGATGAAAAACGAATGATGGCAAATATATGATTGATCCCGAAAGGCTCGGGTACGCTGGACCTTTTAATCGACACAAAGGAGTCAGATGCATGACTTTCCTATTAGCAATTTTGTGTTCTTGAGCTCGAGATAGCTCAGTTGTTAAGGTGCGAAATTACTGACCGAGAGGTCTGCTGTTCAAACCCAGCCTCAGCGTCTTGACTGCTCCTGTCTAGGCTTGGGCAACCTGCAGTATCCCAGCCTTTGTGCCATTGTTGGTACGGCATCTGGGTATCGAAAGGATGCTACAGCTGAATGATTTTTGACGCGAAAACCCATTCCATAACGGTTTGCTTTCCACGATGGACTGTCCAAAGTGTTTTGCCTTGGCTGTTTACCATCAGCATAGTAAAGCTGCAAATTTGCGAAATATGGTCAGCTCGAACGCAACGTATGATTCGATCATCAAACTTGGCAATCAGATTGCCTTTGTTTCGTTACAACGGGTAGACATGGTCAATGTACAGTTTAATATGTATTCTCTCTTCTTTTGGTTGCATCTTTGCAGTTTATGAGTATCTGGTAGTTGAAAAGCGTAGTTGAAAGTGTGTTAGGTCAGGAATGACTGAAATTTTGCTTGCACAGTTTACTACGAAGTAGTAAGGGGCTTGCATTAGAGTGCCGACTAACACCGTTTAATATCCAGGAGTTTCTTACTGTCAGAAGGACTGTTAGGACGCGCGCAGCGATTATCGCACTCCACTTCACTCCGGTCACTTGATCTTGACCTGACCGTTAAAGTCGGGTACATGTAATAAGAACAAACAGAACAACTCAAGAACTTGGGATTAAACTCGCGGTAGTAATTGTTGATGTATGCTTACTAGGTAAGCTAATGTGGACGCCGACTCACATCTTTTGGACTCAACAATGATTCCTTGTCGCCTTGCTGCACCTACATCCAAAGGGTCAATGAGTTAAAAACACATTCAAAAGATCTGAGTTTCTCAAAGAAGACGTATCACAGNGTCGCCCGAAATATATATATATATATATATATATATATATATATATATAGGTGTGCGTGCTTGTCCTCCGCCTATGACCGTTAATCAAACCTAATCTACTGATCAATTCGAAAACGTCATTTACACCGCTTCGTGTTTTCCCTGAAGGCGCTTGACTTTCGCCTCAGTTGTGCTTTTTATTTTTCTGCAGTTTCCCGGGACAGAAAACACGGCAAGTCAACACACAAGAAGCACAAACACAAGAAACACACTCATTCCTGATGCCCACACATGTCACTTTGTCCTCTTGTACAAAATAAACGCCTACTCTATTTTGTTAAATTATCGTCTTCAATTTTACGGGAGCGAATTGCGGTATTTTCGAGACCAGACTAATTAAAATCGATTTTCATTCCTGTGTCGTAGGCCTCATCAACCCACCTTCCACAGTAAATGTCAGAAGTCCTACTTGGGTTGCCTCCTGTGGATGATGAGAAAGAGGAACATGACCGACGTTCACTGTTACAGTTTCTCTATGAGTTGCACCAAATGTTCGATTTGGAGAACAACTCAACTGAGACTTTTCTATTCCCGAGGGACGAAATGACGCTGTTTAAACTGGTCTTGCAGGAGCACTGCAATATGGTGTGTGAACGTTTTTGCTTCCTTACTTTTGACACAGAAAGAACACAGTGACCCGCACCTTCTCTGGTTCAATGTCTGTCGCCACCGCATTCATAGTACAACTTCTAGTGGAGGTGAACTGTGTAGCCTGGCTGAAAAAGTCGACTCACTGCTCAACACATTCAACGTTGTTGACCGTACCACACTCTTGTCACGTATTCTGAGCGAATTTCAGGATAACGTGGAGATGAAACAGTACGTGTTTGACACAAAATACTTGGTGTGCTCCCAAAGCCTCGATTGGTTCGAAGTAAGTCCAGGTCTTTGGAGAAACGCCACTTCTACTTCCTGCTTGGTAGTATCTTGCTTTGGAATTGCTGACCTCTTACAACGTACCAAATATTCGATTTTCGCTGTCTGCAAACGCTGGTGACTCCGTGAAGGAACTTTTATTCTTCCAGTTTAGACAATGTACTCCACACCTTGTGAGCTACTACAAGGTAAGTGACTCCAAGATGTCTTAAATAAACTCGTCCAGAAATGTACCGTGACTGATGTGTTGCTCAGTTATTTGGGGCTGTCGATCAACATTAAAGATTCCATCAGACTTTTGAGACTATTAAACCGTCCAAAACGTGGGCTGGAACGAGAGACCTTCTATACCTTGCGTCTTCTGACCAGACAGTCTAACCTTTCTGCCACGCAGGTGAGCCTTCATTTTCCAGCTTTTCTAAGTTACATGCATGAGTGCGTGTTTTGAACACGGTTATATAGCATTTCTGACGCAATTTAATCAATGAAAGCTCTTCGTTGTTATCTGTATTAAGCGCCTGTAACCTATGGCATGCTTGTCCTTGTTATCGGAGCAACAGCCGTTTGTCCTTCACTCTACAAGACATGTGACCCATAAAAAGACATGTGGGTGGTTTCGGTCCTGAAACCAGTTAACTATCGTGTTTGAGGTAGATCTTCCAAAAAAGGACTATTGGTTTTCCGTTACAGTGGACGACTAGGTCACCACTGGGTTGGTCTGTCGTCCACTTGGATACAGTTGTGAATGTGCGCGCCAGATGATTTGTCACGGTGAACGCCTTCATATGACACGTGAATTACCGTACACACCTGTTTCCGTTCTGTTTGTTCCCCTGTTTCCGTAGTGCTTTTCCTTTTTCGAAGCTTATTGTATCTCCGGTAAACCCGCGATGGTTAGAAGCCTCTCTCAGTGTCTAGGATGGGAGTCGGTACTCACTCTATGGAGCGTGGTGAATGACTCAGTCGAATGGCCCCAGGTGACTCGTACCACCAGAGTAATTGGAATCCCATTAGTCACATGAACTTGTCAGGTGAAAACCAAATCGGTATGTAAATGAGTGTATTTGTCGAACTTGTTAGATTCTTTAATGGAACCGAGCTGGCCAGATACATGACCGGTGTGATTGCTGATCGGTGTTAACTCTTGATTAAAACTCGTGGTCAAAATTGCCAGTGGTATTCCTCGAGTACTTAACTCTGTCGCGAAGTTTTCTGCCTTTAATGAATCTCTTTGCTTCTTTCTTCAGAGGTTTTTTGCGTGATTATTTACTCTCACTATCTAACTAGGATGTGTTTTGTGAATAGTTCACTCAGAATTTCAGTTGCGAGTGAGAGTGAGCTCAATTTGCCTTGATCGCTTCCAAGGTCATGTAACCTGAAAACGACACTAGCCCCAGTTGTTTCTTTACCCGTTTTGCTTTGTTGGTTCGACCGTCATGTCACTTGTCTCCTGACAAGCCATTCTTTGTCACGTTTGGTAGGTAATATAAATGAATTAATTGATCGGCCCTCCTCGATACATACCTCTATGGCGACCAGCTGTCCCAGTCTATTTTTAATTTCAAACAAGTTTTTCACTTCAGTTTATGGTACTTGACTTTTCAGCTCAGACTATCTGGACGATGAGCATCGGCCGACCTGCTGTTATAATCACCATCGTCGTCGTAAGCAGCAGGATCATTGGGAGTTCAGGACCATACAGTCGTTGAATTTGCACTTTACAAGTGATCTAGTAGATGGAAAAATAGGCAGGAATTTAAATTACTACGGACACTTTAGTGACAGCCCCTCCAAACACTCAATCAAACAGTATGGGTAGAAGTTGAAATCCACTTTTTTTCCACTGTCTATTCGGAATTCACCAGAAACACCATACCGATCATTTTGTTTTGCCTCCTCTTGCGTATTATTCTGCCGATTGGAACAGGTTGCTTAAATGTCAACTACTACTGAAAAATACCAGGAAATTACCCGAATATTAATAGCTCGGTTACGCTCACTGGTACTTACTCGGGTGGCTGTTGATCTGATGCAATGCATGCACTGATGCTATCTTGACTGGTGAGGAAACGTTCTCAAGCTAATTGTTAAGCTCAGTGAACAGCCGCGTGATCAACTACCACAACGAGGAATATTTCGAGGACAGCTGTAAAAATCTCTGGTTCCCTTGACTTGTCTATCATTCGTGATACTGGCTCGATTACACTTCCGACCAAACTATCGTTCCATCTACCGCTTTCCTGCTTATATGCATTTCTTCGCTTTGCTTTCTAGGCTTGTTTAAAGTAGCCAAATCAATCTGTTAGGTTTCGATGGTTCCACAAGGTTTTCCTCACTGAGTATTAGGCATCAGTGATCTAATGGTCATGGATCCCGAAATCGCTGTTTTCATCGCGCAGTGGTCCAGTGTGTTGTAAAATCCCAGGCTACTCAGTCGTACATTGTGGTCCTCAACTGTTTGGTTGTTCTCGCGCGATATTACGTTTGTGGTTTACTGGTTTGGCCTGATTATACCTTTAAAGCTGTTCCCTCCTGTTTGACCATCCGGTCTCATTCCTTTACTTTCGCGCCGGGCACAAACCGTTCAACTGGTTCATATTTGTAATGTACCACTCATAAGGTTGCTGAAATCCGCCAACTGGTTGTTCACACGGTTCGGTGCAAACAGTAAATGGCTTTGCGTATTGTGCGCAGGAATCCATTGACGTACACACAGTCAACTCCCGACGACCTGTGTCACCACGAAGGGTGTCATTTTTTGATCGTATGGTCGATCACAGGCATATTCATGTGAACAGTGCCACTGTGGAATATATCCCAATAAGTACCATCCCTCCCTCTAATTTCCGAATCGTTTCTCTCCGACCCCACAGATTGCTATGTCGTTCGTCACCCTTACCCAGTTAGGTGGGTCTCAGGACATGTATGCTGTCCTAAAACCTTGGTCTTCGGGGCTTCACCACCTGGTTGACTGCCTGGCCAAATGCCAGGATGCTCTTTCCGGTGTAACAGATGAGCTTGTTTTGGTGACCACAGGCTCCGGAGATCGTATGAATTTAGAAGATGCTTGTTCAGCGGTCAAACATTGTATACGCACCGCCGGTCAGCTTCTCAAAAAGCCATTAAGGGGGGCGAAAACCTGTCCGGGGGACTCGGACTATGACACAGTGTTTACGGCGTCAAACATCAACGAAGCACTAGAACGACTAAACCAAAAGTTGGCCCGCATCATGAATTCCACAACACTGCCAAAATTTTGTGATGAGACCCCAGGAAGAGTGAGTTTTGCAATAATCTGGCAGATAACGTTTTATCCCGATTTGGTGCTATCTCTTTTAACATTGCTTCATATATCCATCCCTGCGTTCCTCTAATTACTCACGGTACTCGTCGAAGTTAACCTGGTTCTTAAGATTTATGTCCTATCTAATATGGCTTGATTAGCCGGAACTTTTTCCGGTTATTATAGAGCGGAACACGGATTGCTAGCATGTTGTTGCTAAGATACCGGTTTGGTACTGAAATGAGCTATTATTGACCGAACTCTTGTTCACAACAAGCTACCACGTTCTGACATTTGTTGGATCGTCTTAGCGGGGCATCGCATCTGTGAGATACCCCCAGTGTAATATGAACTAAGCTAGTAGTCTTGTCTGCTGGAGACGGGACTAGCAGCGCTGTTCGAATGGGCACCTCAACTCAATCTGTTGGACTGGATATCCCTGTCAACGTACAGCTATCGTACGCAATAAACTAGATGCTAGAATATGTGGGGCATTAATGAGGCTAACAGATTTTCTTGTTTGTCTGCGCTCCCTTTCAAGTTAACATTAGAATTTTCTGCACCCATCATCTAACAACCTTTTTGGGGAATCTCGAGGAATAATAGTGCTTGCTTATTGGGTGCCACTCGTGCACTCAGCATCCGCCAAGAGATCTAGCCGGTGGGATTTCAGGGCGAAGACTGGGGTATTCTCGATCGCATTTAGTACTCATTGACACCTTTTGCCGGCGATTTTAGCGAAACCACAGCTCATTCGGCTCAGCCGAAGCGTATCACGTGAATCTTGTCACCGTTGTTGGATGGAGGAATCGCATTTTCCCTACGTGGATGGCAGAATAAACAGTTGATACAGTGTATCGAAATTCCCTGGATCAAGAGTCCTAGTAAACAATTTTCTACCCATTTCGTGTTTGCTTACCCCAAGCTACACACGGTTTTGTCAAGCTGAGTCTGCTGACACCATACATAACCAGTTAACAAGCACGTCTAATGTAGGGGAGACCTTTCGGTTTGCACTTGACTGCCGATCATGTTCACCATCCGAAACGCAGGTATAAGGGCTGGGATATGACTAGCTGATCTACTTAAGGAGAGTGAACTTTTTCAGAAAAGAATCTGACGTCCCTCAGCATAGCTGATCTCATGCTCCCACCTGACCCGCGCAACTCCTCAGAGGCACTGTGATCAAATGCGGAGTCTCCGAACGCAGCGTCTGCGTCTCTGGTTTATAATGTAGGACAGATGGAACTACGGTGTTACATGGCCTACCTTTATCAGACAAGCTTATGTCACTTCGATGCCATAATTGTCAGTGTACTCAATCTCCGTGAGAGGACACCCGGAAGCATTTCGATTTCCGGGGTATTAGGGGCAGGTAGTACATCGATTGCCGACAGGGTGATGGAGGTTACCTTCGCCTGACACCACTAGATGTGGTGAGCTCAGAAGAGAATTTGCCGGTATATGTTTGGACTCCAATTCATGGAGTGGACGAGCTGTACCATATACAGTTAAACCTTGAGTTTCTCACTGACCTATCCCGGTTTATTGAGCGGCAACATGTGGTGAAAAGAACGCTGTTCACCAATCGTCTAACGCCTTTTGTTCCAAGCGCTGTTCAGTTATCTCCTCTGAAACGTGTTTGGGTGCGGAAGACAACTGTACTGATAAGGCTACTGTTCGTCCAAAAGTTTTAGTTAGGCTTCATCCTTCATTTCTACCGTCAGGTGAAAAAGCTTCCAGGTTTTTAGTAACTTGTCTTTGCGAATTCATTTTCCCAGTGTCAACCGTCTCTGCGTGTTTGACAGAAGCGAAGCGAAAAGTGTCTCCCAGCCCTGTGCTGTGTGGAAACGACCGATAGGTGAACAGTATGTGATCTGGCAACGAACCAGTAACCTGACAACTGCTGCCTCCCGGGATGGGGACCCCGGAACTCAAATCACCACTGGTTAATGGTACTCGCAGACATGGTTAAGTCACGAAGTCAACAGCACTCGCACATGAAAGCTAACACCTTCAACTTGTAACTCCTCAGTTTTTGAACTAATTGAAGGTGCCATCGCTTCCAATGCTAGACTGTATCTCCCACACTCTTTCACTTTCGGCTGGTCGAAACTGTAGGGGATGGAACCAGTGTACTCATGGTACATGGTTTAAAGCTGATAAACTTATTTTATCAGTTTAATTCTTTATTGTAGGACTGCATCACAATGACCGTTGTCGGTCAAGTGGAGTTTCGTGCCTTTCATTCTGGGTGATACTCTAGTTCTCGTGACACTACGAAGCTTATATTAAGGCCGAATACACAAAGATATGATGGAAGCACTTTATGCTGTTTAGCTAAGTTGTCCAGAAGTGCAGCGTTAGCAAGTGCGAAAAATATCACAACTGATTTGCTAAATACTCTTATTTGCACACAGATTAGTTTTTTAATGGGAATCTTAGCTGAAACTAAATATGCTGAACGAAGGACGCCTTATGTTTCAGTTTGCACAATATCTGAGATATTGTACCACCCTGCTAATAATATTAGTAGTAATAATACCTCGTAGCATACACTATGTTGGGTCACAGCGATCCGAAAACCAGTGGGCAAACACGGACCTTCGTTATTCTGAGACCGCTGTACGTTACCTCTGGTTTCAGTAGCTTTGTTCTCCTGTTCATAATGTCCAAAATGATCACTCGAGGATAACCTGTAAGTTACGCAACCCATATACACTTTTTAAGACACAAACACCGTTGGCACTGGTTAGCTTGCTGCTATCTGGACACTGTACAGATGCTGATCAATCACCTGATTCACTGGCCACCACTCAATCCACAATTACAACTTCTCAGACATTAGCTTTCATCAAGAGTAACACTAGCACTTTTCAGCTTAAAAGAACACGAGGATTCAAATTGATTCAACGGACCTCATAACTAACTTCACTACATTTAAGAAGTTGTTCTATTGCTTTGTCCGCAGTCACTTTCACGTGGTGGCAGTCTTCGGGGACGCGCTGCAGCCAGGCTCGGTCGCTTTCTTTTGGTTGTAAGCGAACAGCGCTCGGAATTGTCCAACATTATTACGACACAACCGTGTGGCAGCTTTTCAGCTACACCAATGTCCTCCAGGCTTCCTCAGACTCCATCCGCTACAATTCATTCCACTGTCACCACCCCAACTACCGAAGGCCGAGGGGATCAGTTGCTTCGCATGTTCTTGTCACCACAAACCCCATCAGTTTCACATCAAGCTGTCGAGGCGAATAATGAAAATCTACCTGGTAGTATCGCACCTGCGACTTCACTGATTCCGGACTTAACCGATGAGACCTCCATGGTGAGTCTGTTTTGCATCAATTTTCAGTCTCTGTGGTTTCATTTCAGAGGGAATACCCATGGGATTGAGCAACTGAGTTCTTTTTTATGCGGTGTCCCTCTAACATAGATTCGATTCATGGTAATGTGGGGGCCTTTGCTCATTCTCAATAGAGATTTTGTTTTTTCAGTGAAGCTACTCTATGCTGAGAGCTGAGAAGCACTGTACAGTTTTTTTCATCTTCCACCAATCAATAAATAGCTCGGAGTAAGAATAATTTCGCGCGATGAGTGGAGGCTTCCCTCTGAGAATCCGTCACTCGGGGAGTCAGTCAATATGTGACCACATGATGTCGTATCCTTGATTGAAGGATGAGTGGCACTAGTCCTGTTTAAGTTGGAGCTGATCACAGTACTGATCAGCGACTCGTGGTCAACCGGTTAAGTGTTTAACCACTAGCCGGAAGGTCGAGGCTTCGAAACTCTCATAATTTCGTGAGATGCGCACTGCCGATGATACCCAGTGAGTATCAAAGAACCGTACAGTGTTTATAGGCTTTTCAGCATAGGTTGGCTTCCCGTACAGGACGAAGTCTTCGTTGAAATTGAATAATGCCAGTGAAGTATGGTTTTCATTCGAACGATTGCTGTAGTGTATGAGACTTGAGAAAACCGAAATTGACAGCTGTTTATATTTTCCATGTGTACCGGTGAAACATTCCAGGGAAATGAGAAAAATCGTTCAGTTGTAGCACCCTTTCGGTTCCTAACTGCCTTGCCACCCGTAGGAAGCACGAGGGCTGGGATACTGCCAGGTTGCTCAAGCCTAGCGAGGGGAAGTCGAGAGGCAGAGGTCGGATTCGAACCACTGATCTTCCCGTCAGTAAATTCGCGCTCTAACCACTGATCCATCTCGCCCCCCCCCAGGAAAATGAATAACTTGTCAAAGGATTATGATGAGAATATCATGTGCTTAACGACCCATGTGTTACCGGTGTCTCTGACTTACAAGTACTGTCAAATATAAGCGTTTTCTAGACAATTGCAAAAGGTTCAATTTTTATCCATGCTCAAGAAACACTCCCGTCGAGCCAGCGTTCTGGTATCGCCCATGGTGTTTCCTCGAAGGGGATTTACGTACTAGGTTTCAGTGATGTCAAGATGAAAAACACGTGGAAATAAATCGAAACTGTAGGCTGTTATTCTAGCAGACCCTTATTTTTGGAGTGGGGTATCTATAGCTTTATCATGAATAGGGTTGCTATCAGAACATAAGTCTAGCTTGCTAAAGAAGTTGCGAAACTGTGAACCATGTGTTAAAAGTGATACTGAAGAAAAGTCCCTCACGCGAAATTAGGCGAAGGCTTCACATTGGACACATTTTAATGGAATCGTGTGTTGGGTAAATACATAAATATACTCTCAATTTACTTGCGACTTGTCCATCTTCGTACCTATGTGCGGTAAAGCCACTGATGCCGTAAAATATGAGGATTGTGATGTATAATATGTGGAACTGAGTCACATTGTACTCGTTGTGGTCGGTCTGCCACCTTTAGCACTGTAGTCGCTTACGTCCAAACATGATCAACTTCAGGAGGTACCACTAACCAGAACCGGGAAGTCATTCAAGTGAATTGTGTCATACGGCCTTGTGATTCTATTAGATTGCAGGGACTTACCACCATTTTACTCGGTTTTGATCCGTTCGGGCAACTCCTATCCGACCACTGATCTCCCTTCAGAAAACTTGAGAATCACTAAAGGTCGATGCGACTACTTGATCCGACGATGTTATTTCACTGAGTCTAGTCGATACCGTCGATACCGACAATCCAATGTTGACGTCTGTATTGCATGCTTTAGTCGGACGGGTACGCACAGACATGGCAATATAACCGACTACCGACTGCTGATCAGATGACAGCTGCTGCTGCTGCTGGAATTCAGGTTACTCTCGTCTTATTCTGTGTGCAAAGGGTTCGTTGATGGCGGAAAAGTCCTCTTGGTTTTTTTCCTCAACGGAACCACTCACAAAGTTGTCAAAAACCCTCCAATAGCCCATGACAGGTTTTGCCCTTCTTGGGGCTATGCAGGTAGATACACCTTATGTTCTACTTGAATCCATATTGTACGACATTCGGGCAATGCACTCATCGGCACACCATTCTGGTTTTCACGGGAAACTGAACTGAATCCTAGCTGGATCATCATCATCGACAGCATGAAATCAATGCTACTTGAATATTGTACGACATTCGGGCAATGCACTCATCGGCACACCATTCTGGTTTTCACGGGAAACTGAACTGAATCCTAGCTGGATGGATCTCATCGACAGCATGAAATCAATGTTCAACACCGATGCTTCACTGCTGTACAACGATGACTTATTTGAAAGCCTTATTGTAAAGAAAAGAATAAAGGTGGATGGGGGAGGGACTTAGTGCTAGCTTAACACAATCATTCC